GCCTCCTCTTTTCGTCGGATCTATTGTCCCTCCCCCAGATCTGCCGCCATCATCTTGCTCCACCACCTTCCACAGGCGAATCTACCACCATTACTGCCTAGAGTTATGGGTGTTGAGAGTTTATGTTTTGTTTTTTGTTTTGGTGTGTCCTTACACGCAGTTTAGATATAGTTGATGTATTTATCTCAGACTTATTATAGTATCGAGCTTTTATGATCGACCTCTGCTTTGCAGCATGAATGTTATATCTAGATCTATCCATAACTTATTTCTGGTGTTTTATTTGAAGATTTTCCTTTGTTTTACATAGGGTTTTTTTATCGATTTGGTGTAAGCTTGTTGATGATTTCCTTGTAAGTGTCATTTGGCAATCTTTACTTTATTGAAAATTTCTATTGATAAAAAAAGAAAAAGAAAAAGAAAAAAATTAATTGGTTAATATAATATTTCTCTAAAATAAAAAAAATTTAAAGAAAAAGTACGATTTGGGCTTTGTTATAAAAGTTGTATTGGACTACGCGCAAAGATTCCCTGCCATGCTTCAAAACGACGTTGTTTTAGAGCATTTATTTATTTATTTTTATTTCCCTCCTGTGTTCCTCCTCCTTCTCTTTCTAACCTCTCTATCAGCTTTTTGACCTGAACCAATATCCAAAACCAAATTCGAAACAGACTCAAACGAAGAACAAGAAGAAGTGCATTCAACTTGAAGCTCACATCCTTCATCGACAAAGCATTAGCTCTCAACTCACGGATTCGATGGCGATGAAGAGGGCAGTTTGGAGGACGAAGCAAAGGGCGATGATGATTATGTGTTTTGTGGATTTTTTTGGGGATTTCTTTTTACCTTGATTTTGGTAACAAATGATAACAAATATTTGTTTTGAAATCTGGGTTGTAAGATGTATTACAAGTGTTTGTAAAAATGTCTCATTGAATATAGTTGGTATGAATTTTGGGTTGTATGATGTACGTAGTTTAAAATCTGGGTTTGTAAGATGCACTCCAAGTGCTTGTAAATATGTTTGATTGAATGTAGTTTAACTTTGGTTAACAAGTTCCTCATCCTCTCTTGTTTATTTTCTTCATGTACAAGTGTGGATTTTTTTTATTGCTATTTTGTTGACTGTTGCAGTGCAAGTGCTGATGATGATGGTGCTAGCAATGAAGATGTAATTACCTCTAATAGTTGAAAAAATTGGTGTTCTTGTTATTCTTCTGGGACTTGGGAGGTGTAGGGAGGGGAAGCATGATAGGAAGTTAAAGAAGTCAACTGAAATAATGCTTGGAATTATGACATTACTATGTCAATGATCATGCAACTGACAGAACCAAAGCTGATTCACGTACTACCATTTTCTGAAAACATGAGGACATCACAGCTTTTTTTTTAAAGATCAGTTCAATTAAGTTTTAAACATTGAAGTTTTAAACATTTAAGATCAGTTCAATTAAGTTTTAAACATTGAGGACATCCCACCTTTGTCTTCTTTTTTATTTGTTATTTTTTCCCTGACGTTGAAGTTTTTGGAATTTCAGTCACCCATCTCTTTCAATGCTAATTCCTGCTCTTTGTATAGTTGGTAACATTGTCACTGAAGATGACATGCAAACTCAGGTACTAGGCAATTGGAAACATGCTTATTTCTTGAGTTTTCTTACATATTGCCTTCCCACCCAGCAACACAGATAATTTAACCCCAACTTCTCATCAGTAGAGTACTACACAAAAATTAGAATACATAAGTCATCGTACATAAAGACTGATGGAAAAGTAAGGAAAAATTGAAAGATCACCAAAGTGGTAGAATTCACAAAAGAAAAATGGTGTTCTGGGATGCCTTCAGTTTCCACTAGTGAGGAACTTGTTAACCAAAATGAAACAACTATATTCAATCAAACATTTTTACAAACACTTGGAGTACATCTTATAAACCCAGATTTCAACCTAAATGCTAATTACATCATACAACCCAAAATTCACACCAACTATATTTAATGAGACATTTTTACAAGAACTTGCAATACATCTTACAATCCAGATTTCAAAAAAAATACTTATTATTATCTGTTACCAAAATCAAGGTAAAAAAGAAATCCCCAAAAAAATTCACAAAATGCATAATCATCATCGCCCTTTGCCTGAGTTCTATGACACCTATATTGCTTTCTTGTATAAGGGAAAACAAATTAGAGAGAGTCGAATCGGTGAGTCGAAAGCTAAGGCTTTGTCGATGAAGAATGTAAGCTTCAAGTTGAATACACTTCTTGTTCTTCGTCTGAGTCTGTTTTGAATTTGGTTTTGGATATTGGTTCAGGTCACAGAGAGTTCACAAACGTTTGAGATGGAGAAGGAGGGAAAAATTTTTAAAAAAAAAAAGAAAAGAAAAGGAAAAAGCTCCGAAATGACGTCGTTTTGGAACATGGTAGGAGGCACCGCAGGAAACCACGGCTGAGGATCCGGACTCGTGAAAGAACACCTTAGGTACCAATAAAATGAGATTTCAATATAAGTTAATGGAGTGATGTCAAATTTATTGTAGTAATCTACTTTTACTATCTTAGGTGTCATTTGGGAGGTGGGTTGGTTTTTGGCTTTTTTGGCTATTTTAGTCTGGGCTAAAAACCTTGGTTTGGGAAGGGCTTTTTAGTTTTTTGATTTTTTTGACTTTTTTTGTGAGAGAAGAGTGTAATGATTATGGGTTGGATGTGATGTTTTGTTTTTTGTGGCTAAAATAGCCAAAAAAGCTTAGTTTAACTCTTCCCAAACAAAGCCTTACTAACATTCTGTCATCGGGCAAAAAAAATATAAAATAAAAATCACTAAAAAAAAAGAGTATAATATGAAATCAAAGGCTAGAAGAAAAGAGAAGGTATAACTAGAAATACCATTGGTGTAAATTGCAGCTTTTATTTGTATACTTGCAGAAAATATGACACTTTCTTTTCTTCAAAAACAAAAATATGTTTGAAATACATGAGTTCTAAAAACAAAATAAAAAAAAAAAACATATTTAGTACATTGTCAAGGGTGGAGGGAGTTGTTAGAGTGTTCGAGGGATGGAACACCTAGATTATTGAAGGAGGAGAGTGTCCCGAAAAGGAAATAGTGAGAAAGGGGAAGGTTTTCGAAGGGGAGTGCCTAAAGTTGGTGGAGGGGGAGGGAGACATAAATAAAAACTTGTATGTTTTCAATATAAGTGAAAACACTTATTTTATTGTCACAGTTTTAAAATTATTGTCATTTTTTCAAAAAAAATCGTTACCAAATGTATAAGATAAAAATAAAAATTAATTATTATGTTCATTATATAAAAAGTAAGACTAAATTACAATATTAGAAATGGTAGTGTTGTTATATATATTTTTGTAGATGAGTATTACTATTTAAGACTAAAAATTATATTCAATTTTTAAGTTTAGTGATGTGTCAATCAATTAGGATATTAAAGGTAACACTCTCTCTCATATCTTCTTTAATCATCAACTAATCATATCACTTACACATTATTGGGTCTATAAAATAGGAGTAAAAAGTGAAATTGGATATCATTTTTCTTTTTAGATAATAGAAGGCCCTAAGACCGAAACAACAAATAAAAATTAATTTTGTTACTTTCTGTGAAAATTTTGTTTTTCACTTTTAAAATATAAAAAATATTTTTTGATTAAAATCTTATTAATATTGTCACATTATTTTAACCATCACCATCATTACCATGCTACCATCACCAACATCACACCCCTATCATTGCCACTAGACCACCAACACCACCTCTATTATATATAACACGGAGTTTTCATTGAACAAAATTTATTGAGTAATGATATTCACATTTCAGCTTTTCATTGCATGGCATTCAATGTTCTATTCATATATATTGCATACAATCATGAAACAAAATTTAAGATTTGGTTTCTGAGAGAGTGTTTATCCATGGTAAGCCCTTTTTAGAACAGATTTTGATAGTCCTGGGCTGCCCTTTCTCGCCTCCTGGTGTTAATAAATGCCCTAACGTCCTCTATAGGAAGTTAGAACTTTGGGCTGGACCAGACCTCCTTGGACGTTTTCCTCGTGCTACTTCCCTTTTGTGCAGAAAGATCTTACCTCGTCTGAACAGGCATAGTCCTCTGTTTGATACTCCTTTCGTTTGGAAGAGGTTTGGTGGTGCCCCTCAAATCAGGGCAAATTACTCACCACGTGACTAGTTTCGTCAGCCTTATGGGTCAGTGCAGGTCTCAAGTTGGCCTTAGTCTACGTCCTCTCTATAGATCGTTGTGACTGCCTCTTTCTTGGGAGCCGCGAGCATCCCTCATTTTGCCCTTGGGACACCAGTGGTTGGTTTTTGTTTTGGTTCAAGGTCCTGACTTGGTCGGCAAGTTCCTTAAACTGTTGGTTCATGGCACATATGATTCAATCGCGGTTAGCCAACTCTTACACCCAATTGTTGCTTTCTGAGTTTTCAATGGCGAGTCGGTTTCACTACAAAAGAACATACTTTTTGAGTCGGCAGGTTACTGTCGCAAAAAACATAATTGCCATCGCAAAAACTTTTTGCGACGGCCTTTCGATGGCATGGTGAGGGACGAGAGTACGGGGGTCGCTAAAACTTTTTGAGTCGGCAACTGTGCCGTCACAGAATATTTGCGACGGCAAAATGTATTAATTGAGACGGTATCCTGCCGTCACAAAAAAGACCAAAAAATCACTACCATTATTTATGTCGGTACATTACCGTCGCTATAGAGTTTTTTGTGTCTGCAATGTGCCGACTCTAAAAAAATTCACCTGTACATTGCATAGGTTTTTTGAGACTGTTAGTTGCCGTCACAAAAAAATATATATATATATATATATTTTCATAAAAAAGTTATTTCTTTTTTGTAATTAATACCTGTATTATGTTCATTGAAATCTAATAAAAAAAATGCATTCAATCAATAGACATTCATTCATTCATTCAAAAACCAAAAATATTTATACAAATTCAGTCATCATCTTAGCTTCATTGACATCAAAATATTAACAAAAAATTTGTTACATCAATACAAATAGTATGGTAGCAATATGTTATAAATATTAAGTACAAAAAGCTTGACATCTCAAGCCATAATATAATATGTCCAAAAATAAAATTAGCTTCCATGCCACCATTAATTCATCTATCAGTCTTCATGCAAAACCTGAAAACAAAAACCAAAACAAAATTGCTAGTATTTATAACATATTGACCACGTAAGGTTGAATCACCCCTCAGAACTATTGTAAAGTCAGTTTTCTCAACTGACTTGGATGCAGTACATAGGTTTCGGCAGATATCTTCTACCAATACAGTGGCCTGTAAGAAGCCACGTATCTACTCAGCAATGCAATTTTAAATAAGAAAATACTTGGTGACATTTTACTTTCAAACAAAAAATTATTTTTCTTCTTGATAGAGTGCAAAAGTTTATTTATTTACTTTTGGAGGAAGCACATTACCTTATCAGAACTCAGTGCACGGGAGTTGGTCAAAATGAAAAAGCATTTAGGCCTTTTCCTAAACTGTTCAATAAGTGACTCAATGTTCCTGCAAATAAAAATGTAAAATCACTAGTAACTAAAGTTAAGCTTCTAAAATAGAATGGGATACAGGGTGTTTGTTAGGGAATGAGACTAACAGATAACATAATTACACTAGCGCATGAAAACAAAACACAGTAGCTGGCCTTTAGAATTAGAGCCATAGTCATTGATTGAAGCACATGTAGTGATGTCCTCACTAATGATGTTGCAAACTGGTAATACAATATTACTGACAAGACACTCACCATTCTGTTAACACTTCAATATCATGAACAGTCTGAGTATAAATTGCTCCTTTTTAGGTTGGTTCCACTAGTGGTAAGTTCACTGCTGCTAACTATAAATTGCTAATCAGGACATGAGCAATGGAGATTGGAATTGGATCTAGAATTTCATATGGCTTATTCTTAAGGGAAGGTTGCTCATACGAGACTCATAAGGAATATGGCCTCAATTGACTTGTGCTCGATGTGGATTAGCTAGTAATGACATGAATCATCTCCTCAGAGAGTGCAACTCCTCTAAATACATTTGGGTTCAAATAAAGGACACTAAATGATGGGAGGATGGATGCGGTCAGCCACTTTGTGAATGGGTTGCTGAGAATTTGAAAAATAAAACTGAGTTTTTTGGTAAAAAATGATACACTATTTTCATTGTTATCCTTTGACAGTTATGAAAAGATTGAAACAAATTTGTTTTTGAAAGCCAAATTACCCCTATTCAAATCAGTCTTAAGAACATGAAAAATTATGTCCATGAGATTGATGAGGCCTTCCAATCTATCCTCCACTCGAATCCCTCTCATCCTAGACTAATCAAATGGTTTTGTCCACCTGTAGGAAAGCTGAAATTAAATGTTGATGGCTGCTCAAAACGAATGCAAAACAGGTTCAACACTATTAAGAAATGCAAAATAGGTTCAACACTAATCAGTCTTACTTTAGGTTCAACATCAGGAAAATAGGTTCAACAGCAACAATAACACTAAATCGGGTTTTCAGTAGGCTAACCCTTAACCTCAATTGCGTGTGATTGTGAATATTACATTATGTAATAGAGATACCTGCACAGGAGAACCCAACAACTCATCATCTTGACTATCATGATCTCCTACAGACTTCCTGACTTGTTGACGTCCACTAGAGGCATTTGGAACCTATATAACCAACACCAATACCATTGTATTAAATATGATACATAGAAATAAAAGAAAAGAAAAAAAAAAGAAAAACAAACAAATTGCCCAAGTTATTCAGTTAGTCATTTTTACTCCACCTGTATACCACTTAGGCCACCTTGGGACCTTATGAAGTCCATCCAAGCTCTAACTTGCTCGAACTCTGCCTTCAACTTCTCAGTGACCCTTTGCTCAATCTCAACCGTCAGCCTTTGCTCGATCTCTTCAGTAACTGTTTGGCGTACTTGTTGAGTGATCTCCTCAACAGTCGATGATGAGGATGCTTGTGATGGACTGACATCTTTTTTGTACACTGCACTTCGAGGCACACCTATCCCATAAGTCTTGCAATATCCGTGTCCATCCTTTCCTACTAGGTTATGGAAAATCTTATCTTGTACCTCTTCTGTCCTGAGGGGCTCGTCTATCATTGAGAGTTGCTCATTATACTCATCCTAATATTTAAAGATATTAGTATACAAATAGCACAGTTAAAAAAAATATTAAACCAATATGCAAAGGCCCATACCAAAAATAATTTCACATCTGGATCAGTTATCATGCGTGTCTTCATGAAGACACTCATTTTGTTAGTGCTCTCTCCATCAGTCATCATCTAAAATTGCCAAACAGATAAGAGTTAGCATTTAGTTAATTTTTATATAATTGTTAATACAAATCATTACCTTATGTCGTACATCGGCAAAGGGTGTTCTCCCGGTCCTATGCACTGGACCACGCAGCTCTCGATTTTTAGAATTACGACTAGCAATCTTCTGTAAAAGTAAAGCATTCACATTTTACAAAAACTATTAATTAAATGTCATACAAGAGATACATGAATATATTTGTATACCATTGCATCTTTACTACTCCAATACTCCACCATCACCCTCCATTGTTCTGGCAAAATGTCCAAAGGCACTTTTTCATTGATATTTGGATCATCTTTAAAACGCTTGTAGGGTTTGTAGTGATAGCTAGTCTTTATGTTTGTGATCCTTCCATAATTTGTTACATGAGTCTATGACCACTTGCTTCAACCCTTCTGGAGCATCATATAACAAGTTATTCCTACACAACACAAGGTAATGGAAGTAAGATTAGCAAACATTATAATTAATACAGTGGAAATAAAAATAGCAAACATTATAAATGTATAAGACATTTGAAATAAAATTATTAAGCATTATAAACAAGACAAATGGAATGTACAAACAAATAAATTTATACCTGAACCTCCTTCCAAATGCCTTCCACAATATCTTCAGGTACTGAGCCCCAACTAAGATAAGTTAGAGGAACTCGGTGTGGATTGCGCACAATCTGACCCAACTGCCCCTTAAATGACCGTCCTAGTTTATTAAGTGGCTGAAACATGGCATTGAACTCTACATTTAGCTTTGCTCCTGTACACCCATTCCTTGATTCCCTTAGCACGACCACGACCATGCCTCCGCGAAGAGTGAGAGTGAGAGTGAGAGTGACAGAGTAGTAATTGTTTAACACTAGTAGTCAAGTTATTTTCTTTGAATAAATATCTACTCACGAAGTTGAGTTCTAAGGGTTGTGTGAAAACATTGTGCG